GAGGGAAGCATCAGCTTCGAACTCACGATAAACGTGGACGACCTGACAGTGTCAGCCCTCGTCGACACCGGCGCCACCCGATCCTTTGTCGACGCCAAAACAGCGGAGGAGCTGAGACTCCGCGGAAGAAAAGCCCAGACAGTTAGTCCGAGGCGAGTAATTCTAGGCAACGGATCAACCGAAGAGGTGAGGACGGCTCTAAAGCTATCGACTATGCTAGAAGGGAGGAAAATTGAATTTCAACACTATATTCTAGAATCGCTATCGACCAAAATGGTCCATAGGACCGATTTCCTCCGTACCGCACGAATCGTTATCGACTTCTACGGAGATGAATGGTATTTTCGAGAAGAACCGCTATCGGGACACAGGTTTACTCGTGGAACTCCCCTAAGCCTGCAGATATTACGCTGCTATGGCTTGCGAGTAGCAGAGGGTAAAGAGGTCAAGGTCCTGCAGGAATTCTTGGAATCTCGACTACTTCCGACATCGGAGAATCCACTCTTGTCCAAGCTACCGGCCTTGCACTTAGACACGGGTAACAGTCCGCCTATCCGTCAGAAGGCATACTACGAAAACCCCGCTCTAAGGAAAGCCATGTAGGCCGCTATCGACGACATGCTCGCGAATGGCATCATCGAGCCATCTGCCAGCGAGTGGTCTAGCCCGGTTGTCATGGTAAAGAAGCCAAATGGGACCTACCGCTTCTGTATTGACTTTCGAAAGGTTAACCAGGTCACGAAAAAGGACGCCCATCCGATCCCCAACATGACCTGTATTCTGGATGAGCTGCGACAAGCCCACTATATCACGACTTTGGACCTTAGTCAGGCGTATTGGCAAATACCCATGGCCGAGGAGTCCAAGGAAGTGACGGCATTCACAGTCCCGGGCCGTGGACTCTTCCATTTTAAGAGAATGCCGTTCGGGCTAACCAACGCCCCGGCCGCCTTCCAGAGGGCCCTAGATCAAGTTATCGGCCCAAAGATGTACCCTCACGTTTTCGTCTACCTGGATGATATTGTTATCATCTCTAAGACCTTCCAGGAACACTTGGAATGGGTAGGGCAAGTTCTCGACGTCCTCCGCTCCGCCGGCCTCAAGATAAATCGAGAGAAGAGCGAGTTTTGCCGTTCGGAGGTCCGCTACCTGGGTTTTGTCGTCAACGGCTCCGGCCTGCAGATTGACCCCGAAAAGATTAGACCAGTTATCGAGTTCCCAGCACCTAGAACCTTACGGCAGCTTCGCCGATTCTTGGGTATGGCCTCATGGTATCGACGCTTCATGCCCGATTTTGCCACCATTGCCGAACCGCTAACGAAATTAACTCGAAAGAGTCAACAGTGGATATGGGCAGCAGAACAAGAAGCCGCGCTATCGGTCTTCAAAGAACGACTTACCACCGCACCGACTTTGGCTTGCCCGGATTTCACAGCCCCCTTTGTGCTACAAACGGACGCCAGTAGCGTCGGCGTAGGAGCTGTATTAACCCAAGTCATAAACGACGGGGAAAGGGTAATCGCTTACGCCAGTCGTGGGCTATCGAATCCTGAGCGAAAATATACCGTCACGGAACAGGAATGCCTTGCCATCCACTGGGCCATGAAAAAGTTGCGCTGCTATCTCGAAGGATACTCGTTTACCGTAGTTACCGACCACAGCAGTCTCCGATGGCTTCACAACTTGAAGAACCCTAGCAGACGACTAGCTAGATGGGCTCTCGATATGTCGGAGTATGACTTTAAAATCATACACCGAAAAGGCGCACTCCACCACGTCCCGGACGCTCTCTCTAGAGCACCGGAAAATGAAGACCCGCTACCGGAGTCAGACCCCTCCGAGGGAATCCTCGGAGACAGACTCACCCTGTGTTTTACCACTTCGCATCAGTGGTATATAAAACGCCTAGAAGACGTGGGAAGAGTCCCGAAAAAGTTCTCGGAATGGAAAGTTATCGATGGTCGCCTCTATTTCCACCGCCCCTCAAGTCTGGCCTCACTCCAGTTTGAGGACTTAAATGCCTGGAAACTGGTACTCCCCCGAGAGCTGAGACGCCAAGTGATGGAGGAACACCATTCGCTACCGCAAGCTGGACATCTAGGCGCAGATAAGTCCTACCAGCGTTTAGCCATCAAATACTACTAGTCGAACATGGTAAAGCATGTAATAACCTTCTGCAGTCAGTGCCTGGAATGCCAACGCTGCAAGCCCTGCCAACAGGCCACGCCTGGTTACATGGGCCGGCGAGTCATCGAACATCCATGGGAGGTGATTGCCGCCGACATTATCGGCCCCCTAACCCACAGTAAAGCCGGATGTTCATACGTTCTCGTAATACAGGATCTCGATACCAAGTGGATAGAAATACGTGCCTTACACCGTGCCACTGGAAAATTAATTAGAGAGGCTATCGAGGACCTCGTGGTGCATAGATGGGGCACGCCCAAGGTCTTGATAACGGGTAATGGAACCGAGTTTGTCAACAAGGACATTCAGAAGTTACTCGATGTAACGGGAATGGTCCAGCAGACAACTCCGCCGTACCATCCTCAGGCCAACCCGACCGAACGAGTGAATCGAGTCCTGAAGACAATGTTACGAGCGTTCGTGGAGAACGATCACCAAGAATGGGACCAACACCTCCTCGAGTTCCGGTTCGCCTATAACACGGCGTATCACAGCTCTCTACAGGCGACGCCTGCATTCGCAAATCTGGGGAGAGAACCCGAACCCGCCATTAGTTTCCGGCGACAGGTGGAGGGCCCCATGGAAGCTACCGCAGCCCCCGAAGAGCCGTGGTTGGATCGCATGAAGAGGTTGAAGACCCTTCAAAACGTATTCCGCCACGCATTGGACGAGGCGCATCTCCGCCAGTCTCATTCCTACAACCTGAGACATAGGAAACGAGAATTCGAAATAAACGATCTCGTCCTCTGCCGGAGTCACGAACTCTCCAATGCTGCGAGGCATCGCTCCGCAGGCTTGTGTAAACCGTTCTCGGTGCCCCTCGTAATAGTCCAAAAGCTATCGAAGACAGTATACGAGTTGGCCGATTTCTACGGAAAGAGTAGGGGAAAAGCGTCTATCAATGACCTGAAAACCTTCATATCAGAAACCGTAGCTACCGACACGAAGACCGCTCTCTAGAAACGCTATCGTTTATGAAAAGCTTTTGCAAGCAAAACCTTTTCTCCCCCACGGGGAAAGGACTGTAACGCGATTTTTCGCGTTAATAATAATTTAAAATATTTATTGGAAAAAATTACGCTCTCTGATGTACCGATTGGGTCCGCCAAATCCCCACGCGTGAGAAGTTGAGGTTATAGTACTGAACCTCAGCTTCCAATGAGACTCCTCTGTCGGAACAGTGGGTTCTCCACTCCAGAGAACTGTTTCACGTTAGACGGGGCGGGCATTCAAATGGCCAGGGGTCCAGATAAGGGGTTAACTGGACGGCCTGGTTGGGGACATTTGAATTCGGCGCGCTCCAGGAAACGTTACCGGCAGGGATATCCTCGCGGTGGTGATAAGTACCACGGGTGATCCCCCACGCACTCCAACCGCGCGAGTCGGGAGTGGGGAGCAGAGCTACTAGGGAGCACTCTCCACTCCACACGTCAGAGTTGCTCCGGCACTCTCACGGGCCACTCGGCCCCGGGCTCTGACAGCCCGTAGCTCTCGATGATTAGTGTGGCTATATAGCCCGCCATATCGCTTTACCTATCGCTATCTCTTTTACAACCATGAGGCTGAGCTAACGGAATATAATAGAAGGTATACCTATATCTAGAGCTCTCGCGATGCTAGCGCATATCGGCAGCTATCGGCGTTCTACCGCTATCTAATTACCGATCGCTCTCGCCTCTATCGACCTGACCTGCTATCGACCACCCTACCTTACCAACCTTCCGACGCTATCGGGGACCGACCATACTAAAAAGAATTCCGACCCTCTCTCCATAACCTAGCATACTGAGCGACCCGGTGCTCCCACACGTGTTCTAACTTTACATCCGCAATTTTGGTATTTCGCGGGAAGTCTCCAGAGGTCCTCACTGCGCCCTGGGAAAGGGACAGTGACGATCTCTGGTCACGCACCTAATTTTAACTTATCGGTCTTTCCTAATTGTGTCCTTAACAACTAGGCGGAAACTTCTCGGTCTTTCCTAATTGTGTCCTTAACAAGTAGGCGGAACTTCTTGTCTGTCCTGTCGCGAGAACGGGCAAACCCCCCGTTCTGTGCTCTCGTCCGTATCTGTTATCGGTTATCTCTGGGGAGGTGCTAACCCCCACCTCCACCGGTAAATTCGGTCTTTCCTAATTGTGTCCTCAACAACTAGGCGGCATAAATGGTATTTCCTAATTCTATCCTTAACAACTAGGCGGCTCTCTGGTTTGCTATTTTACCCCCTTAAAATAACTGGCGCCCTCCTGGTAAATTCGCGGATGCTATGGAACCGGCGAAGGTAACCAATTCCCCGGACTTACGGAACACTCCGGGGAAAACATCGTTACAACAGTTTATATTAACTTTTATTTCCATTTTTGGTTAATGCTTGATGGATACGCTTGAGCAAGCTAACGTGACGTGCTGATCGTGCATGCAGGGAGATCGATTGTGCTAGAGAAATGATGAGAACTAAAAAACCACCAGTTCTAGCTAAAGACAAAGTTGATGAAGTTCTGAGAAATACAATTTCGATACGTGAGAAGGTTGTGACGAAAGTAACTGCCAAAGCAACTGTTGAGTCTCCAAGAGTTCAAGGAGGAGCCAAACCAAAAGAAGTTACCTTGTCTTTTCTATCCTCGACACCTAAACGAAAGTACAAGAGAGTTCGTGTAACTAGTACTTCCGATGACACAAATTAATATTGATGAAATATTTTTTTTAGGAAAGTGTATACATATTTAATTTGAAATCTGATTAGTTGTAACAAAATTCAATGGAAAAATTTTAAAGTTAACTGAATAATAATATTTATCATAATATTTATTTCACAGTTTCGAACATGAGCATTGATTCGGAAGAATCCGTGAGAAGATCTGTCTCCGAAACTCCAAAGTGTTCAAAGAAAAAACAAGGTAATTTATCGATTTTTTTCCTCCATTAACCGAAATATTTCAGTAGGTGAATAGTTCTAATATTATTTTTTCTCTCAAGTTCCGAAGGAATGCATGGACATTGAGTATATGGATAAACAATTCAATTCAAATACGAACACAAATCGAGTCTATGAAACGCAGCATTCTCTATGAGATTTGAACATAAACTTAAAGCTCTTAGTCTCAATATCACAACTTTAAAGAGTGAAAATATACAATATGATTAGAAGAAAATTCAAGAAACACTTGGTACTACTTCCCCACTAACTACACTAGAGGGCTTTCTGGCTTTTGAAGCGGAACTTCATCTTATTGAGGACAAGAAGAAGGCTTTGGTACGATATTGTTAGTTCTTACTATTGATATTATTTTTATTCGGATTGGTTGTAATTTAAATTATCTGTTCTCATTTCAAAGACGCAGCTTATGGAATATTTGAGTGTAAACTATACTACCACCAAAGAATGTATTATTAAAGTTCATCCCTCTATACTTGACAAGAACGTGCAATCACATTATTCCGGCCAAGGGATGAAGAAGGCTTTTGCAGTCAAGTGTTGTTCTAAGCTATATATGCTTGCTTTGAAGGTAGCTATTTCTTGTTATTCATAGTATTCGGAAAATTTCTGAGGCATTGCTTTCGACTTGACGGACGACTTAGTTTCCTACTACTATATGGAAAACAATGATACATAGTTACATAGTCTTCAGAATTTTTTTTAAGAAAATAAAAATGATACAGAGAACAAATGAGGCTTATTCCCAAACAAGGAGTAGTAATTTTAAAATGAAACGTTCCTAAAAAAAATTTTTTTTTCATAAATAAAGGCGAAATTCGAAAAATTTGCATTTGAAAAAGATCATAAAACTGTTTTTAAACAGGAATGAACATTTTTTCCGAATGTTCCTTTAACTCTCACTTAATTTTCAATTGAAACTCATTTTTTTATTGTTTTTGTTTTGTTCCAGCTGCAATGATAAACCGATGGGGAACATGTCCCAAATTAATTTCCCACGTGGGAGTTTGGCTAGCTAAATGGCAAAATCGTGAAAGAGGACGAAAACAACGTGTCAAAGTTGGGGAAATACAATCGCAATCAACAATCAACAATAATAACAATCCGTAACTAACAGCAACAAACAAGAAAAAATAAATCTCAATATTAATATAGAGATTCTTAAATTCAGAGTTCTTAATATCTTCTCAAAAAATTTACATCACAATGGATGTACTAATTCCTGGTCCGTTCATACTTTATCAATAAAAAAATTTTAAAACTGAATTTTCTTCACATAGAACCTTTTATTACTTGCGACCATCATCGGCCCCCTCGAAAATGTATAGAAGGCCGACTATCGGTTTACTTAAAATTAAAGATGCGGCCGAATATCGGGCCACTCAAGAGTGAGTATACGGCCGATTATCGGTTCTATATTGGTAGCGTTTATCGGCGTTTAGCGTCTATTGTAACGAGCCGATATAGGGCCGAAGATGGGTGAATGATCGCTGATGATTATCGGCAATGTCGGCACCGATAGTGGGCCGATTATCAGTCCGATTGTATCACCCTACATGGGGATTGATTAATTGCAAAAATTGAATAAGTCAGTCGATTCAATTCTCAAAATTACTCGGAATAATTTTTGTTATTAAAATTTTTCAATTCAAATTAATAATTTAGAAGATTGATTGATTGGATAAAGCGCAAGATTTGGAAAAATCAACTAAGTAAAATTCAATTTTAATTAGAAATAATTCGTGCTATAAAAATTCTTTAATTTAATTAAACAATTCAGAAGATTTGGAAAAATCTACTAATAAAAAAAATTTTTTTAATTATATCAATCGCAAGATTTCGATACATTAATTAATTAAAAATTCAATTTCCATTAGAAATAATTCGCAAAAAAAAATTCAAATTTAATAATCCGCGTTATTAACGATTTTTTTTTTAATCAATTAGAAATTACATAAATCGCGCACTTTCACTTAAATGTTAATAAATTCAACGAACCCCTATCTTCGGTTGATGATCTTCCTGTTGTCCTGCTCGGCTATTTTCCTTCCTTTAGGGTGTCCTTCGTCCTGATATGAATGTTGTCTTTTGGTGTGAATGTTTAATTCCTCGTATGAATAATCCTCATGTGAATGTTCTTAATCCTTGTATACACGGAGTATAGCTGTCTCCTTGTATGAATGCTCCTCTTTAGTGTGATAATTATCCTTTATGTCATTGCGGCTGCTAAAACGCGTTTCTAACCTCGCTTCGCTCGGATAAAAAAGCGTTTTCGGCCACAATGACATAAAATAGCATCATAGTCACGGCGAAAAAAGTGATTCTGACTCATGCGCGTTATAATCCTCGTCTCCGACTCGTACTATAAAGTCGCATTCTTCAGATTCCCTTTTTCCGTCCTAGGCGTGAAAAATACTATTATGTGAATGAATTTGGGTATGCCTGGTCTGAACTGAACTGAACTGACTGCTAGGCTTCCAGGCGAAACTAACTGAACTGAACCGGACAACGCCTTTTCATGACAATTACTAATTGGTGTATGTTAATTCATACACGAATTAATAATTGTATGAGGGTGGGGGAACATGGTGCACTGATGAGTGCCCATGCATTTTTTTTAGGAGGGGGAATGAGTATTGGGTGGGATATTGGGCGCGTGCGTAACGTGGGCGCGAGGCGATTGGGATGGGGGGTCGGTTGCGTAACGCACTTGCTTGTGCGTTTATAGAGGATTTCGGGCGGTGAGGTAGGGAGGGGTTTACTTGAAGACAGTCATATGACTATTTCCAAGTGTAATGCAATGCCAAGTGTATTAAGGCCCCTTGGTAACGCATTCGTTTTCGTTGGTTAATATGAGAATGTTAAATGAACATTCTCATATTTGAAACTTCTACTTGTTTTACCTTTGTAAAACAAGTATTGGAATTTTTAATCAATTCCCATTTTTTTTATAAAAAAAAAATTATTGAATTTTATTATTATTGTTAAATTCCATTGGAAATTTATATTCCAATGGGATTTAACAATAATTTTGTACGCCTTGACGTAACACCGTTTAATCATCATTCTGTAAGCGTAACCATGTGTATCGACATCCATCGATTTTTATTGTTAAATCTAGACCTCACAAGGGTCTTGTTGAATTAAACTCAGTGTTTCCAAATTATTCTGAATTCCAAAGTCACTTGCTCTCGCCCATCTTCTAAAAGTTCTGAGGTTTAAATATTTATTTTGTTATCAATTTAAAGTTTCGCGTGTATATTTGGGCATCACAAAATTTTTGTTTCTCCTATTACGAACGCTTAAATTTCCTTGGAGCAGTCCCTTGTTGACATAACACTTTTGTGAATCTTATTTCCTCACCCAACCTAATTTCAATGGAATCACAGAGAGTCGATATTCGTAAAAAAATGGAAATTGAAAGTACCGAAAAATTAAGAGGTGTAGATAGTAGTAAAAAAAATCAGCGCTATAAATAGTAGAACAATCCTATGATCTTTGTGGACAGTTTCCCAGGGAAGCCCTGGTGTGCAAGAATATAACTCACCAAGTCCTTAACGAGGGCTCGCCTAGCCCTCAACGAAGACTTGGAAATGCTCCCTCAGGACTAAAGTTCACCTTTGGATCAAGCCGTATTAGCCTTGAAATGATTGATGATTGAAATGATCGCCTCAAATATTGAAATTCTTTTTTGGTTCATAAATTAATTTGTAATTTTGTCGGAAAAGTATTTCTGATTGCAAAAAAAAACATTCTTTCTTGCCAGGATTCGATCCATGGCACTTGTAAGCTGTAGGTCTGCACCATTCCACCATTCGGAAATTCGTTCGAATATTACATTCACTTCTAGTAGAACAGAAATTGAAAGTGTAGGATTTTCTATTTTTATTCGGCCAATTAAGAACCATATTTCCGATGCTCTAGTAGATCAGTGAACTAAAAAGTGAGTAATCCTATTTTTCTCCCCGGCGGGAGCAAAGTCAGAATTCCCTCCGGCGCAGGGAGAAAAATGATGTTCTCATCACGGAAAGTAAAATAAAGAAGGCTTACCCACGTGCGTACCACCCTCGTCTTCGGCTCGGGCGGTAATCCTGCACGTGGGCCAGCCTTTTCTACTTTACCTCCCTACGTGAGAAAAATACTATTGGAATGACTATTCTTTTTTTTTGTGGTTATTTTACATCGCTTCGACTATGTTAGAGTATATGGCGATGATGATCAAGACTTCAATTGGTTAGATCTCACCATTGTATCCGGCCAGCAATCGAATCTGGAACCTATCCGATGTGAGGCAGCGACCGCAACCACGAAGCCAGGTCACCGGGCTTGCAATGACTATCAAGAAGCGTCTTCTATAACGGGCTGCCATAAGCCTTATTCAGGCCTAATTCGGTTTGTTTGCCAGGAGATTGTAAAAATTCTGATTTGTTAATCGGAAATTTTTCTACGTTCGTCAATATAATGATTTTTTTTAGGGTTATCGATTTGATCTCTTCGCGAGGGCAATAGTGATTGCTTAAAGACCTAAGGATGACGTGTGGGAAGGCCGGACAAGCCTATCTTTGAAAGTTACACTTAAAAAAATTTCAAGTTCCAAGTATTTCCCTTTTTGCATAAGGGGGGCATAAGGTATTTACGATTAGGAATCTTTCGGTACTCCAACCGATAATCCTGGTAGTTTCAGCCTCTTGACCTTTAGTCTGAACAGGCGTTCAAATGTGCTTCGCCAATAGCCTCATAAACCACGGTCAACAACGGCCGTCGAAAACGTAGTGTTTCATGATACAATATCGATACTCTTAGTATCGATACTTTTAGGCGCGATACTCGATATTTTATATCGATACCTTTTCGTCGGTACTTTGGGTGTATCGATACTCTTTGGCCAGAATCGTATCGACTTTTTTCGGGGAGAATGTTTAAAAAAAAAACGTTTATCCTTTCGAATCCTCTCAATAGCATCATAGTGTATCGGTATTTCAATGTATTAATTATTTTGTATTTCAATATGCTTTTTAAAAAAGAAAGCATTATTTTCAATGAAAATCATTCAATCCATTTATAATTGTAAACCTACCTTGAACCCTTGAAAACGCGCCAATTTCTACGGCTATTTTAGAACTTGGCAGCGTAGCATCAACAAACAACTCCAAACAGGTTATTTGGACCAGAGAAATCTGAAGCCGGTAATGAGTGTTGGTGATTAATTATGGCGTGTGAAAAAGCAGGTGGGTAGTCCAAGATTTCTACTATCTATCGATGATAATTAAGAGATTTTCTATGAAAATATGTTAGTTATGATGTGTAGAATGATTTTGTTGAAGTTAGCGGTAGGTGAGTTAACCTCAACAATTTGGTCCGAGTAAACAATTCGATAAAAAAAGTTTGCAATAATTTTTCCCCTCCAATATACATTGACGATGTAGGATAAATTGTTGATTGCGCATTGGTAATGATCCAAAATTATTGGAATCCATGTATTGATTTTTTATTCTACCGAAACCACCTATAAGAGAACATTTGAAATCTTTGTCCAAGTGAACGATGGTTCTTTTCGAATTAGTGGAGTACCGTACAGAGATTATATGGCAATCACGGGTAAGTGTAGGCAACACATGATCACATTTGCTTTTTCTTCACTCCATGTACACTCAACGAACCATGTTGCTTCAGGGGATAACAAGAAGGCTGAGCTTTATATTTCAAATTTGTTGAACGACGAAGTGATTCCCAGAGATTATGACAGAGTTGATAAGTTATTCATGAGTAATAATGGGATCAATTAGTAAGTAAATCATTTCCCATGGAATATCTTTGAAAAGGGATGCGACCACTGTCGTTTCATTACTATTGTATCTTGATAAAATAAATCTCAATTCTAACAATCTCATCAAAGATTACACGTATGAAGGGGACGGTCAAACAGATGACTTGGTTAATGAGCCTAGCGATGAGTCAACATTGACGAATGACAAAAATGAAAGAGATCATTACTCAGAGGAGCATTTTGACAATTACTCGGATGCCACACCGCCACCATCTAGTCCACGAGTATCTAAACTGCAGGGACTAACTGGAGGGAGAGTGCAGAGTGATTGTACCCTTGGGAATGCCTCAAATTCTTTGACAACTGTTAAGAAAAAACTTCAACAATTTATGAGCAATCATGACGAACGAGAGACACCACGAGAAAATGGTTTGTGCTCATATTCTTTTCTGAGTTTCTTCACTAATTTTGTTTATAACCCATAATTTTCTGTAGGTGTCAATTTAAGATATGAGGAGACCCATCGATCTGACCAACTTCGGGAGCGTTCACGGTAATTTTTTCATTTTTTTCTAAATTAAGACTTTTGGGGATCGAAAAGAAATATCATTTGATGATAGAAAAGTAATTTTCAATGTTATGAAAAGCTCACTAAAAATTTAATGATCTTTGAAATAGGAAAGCTCGGATGGAACATTTTCAATGAGCTTCACCTACAACTTCAATGGGATTCTTATTGAAATCAATCGAAAGTTGAATGGAATTCCACAGGGGAAGAAATTTAGTCTTTTAGCGGATATTTCAGATTTATGATTTTGCATTTTCTCTCTAAACCTTTGGTCTTGTCCCAACAATAGGAACACCAGGATGAAGCCAAATAAACCTTCAAACTCTTCACATTCCTCCAGCTGGGTTTGGAAATTCATGATAAAAACACCGAAGGGAGGAGACTGTAATCTGTGCTTACGTTCTATATCATCTGAGAAAACTACGACAAACCTCGCGAAACACTTGACACGAAATCATAGAGACAACCAAAAAGTCATGAATGCTTACTCTCAACTAAAAATAAACCCAGTAACTTTTATTCTCTTCTCAGTTTCACCAATTCTGCAACTTCTGCTTCTAACCCTACCCATTTTCCATTCTTTACTTTTCTTTAATCACCTTCCGGGTTCAAACTTCCAGAGAAAAAACAATCAGCAGAATGATCCCCTGAACCATAACAATCGAAAGGCAACCAGATTTGATTAATTCATGCAGAACCCAGAATAATAGTTGAAATTTATTGCAGGCTGGTACTGCAGAATTAAAACTATCGACATTAAGAAAGCCATCTTCACCCACTCCAAAGACTGAACAACCCAGAATTGATCACTCTTTCTCACAAATCAACTCATTTAAAGGTATGGAATAATTTCCAATCACCACCCATAATTAATGATAGAATTCCTCATTTTTTTTACATTGTAAATTCATTTTATGGTGATTCAATATTTATCAATTACAAATTGGATTCTGATCTTCAAAGTTCGAGTAGTAAAATCATTGTAAGATGATTAACACTCAGCACAATGAACAATATCACGATAGAGTATCTTTTGCAATTGTTTGCTGTGATTTATCGTCTGCGAATAGTATTTGTTCAAATTTGAGGCTTACTCTGTCATTTAATTCCAGATGGCGGAATTTTTAGTGGAAAACTCAAGAATGCACTGTTATACATGGTCGTCAAAGATGATATGCCTCTTAGCTGCACCGAGAAAGAAGGCTTGAAGCATGTTTTATCGGTCGCAGCTCCTCATTTCCTTGCACCGGGTAGAAATTCAATGACAAGGTGTCTGGAGCAAAAGTATTTGGTCTTGTCCTCACAGGTTAAACATAAGTTGCAGAGCTTTCATAATTTTACTTTGACCGCTGACGTGTGGACTGACACCAATACAACTCGAGGATACCTAGGAATCACTCTTCACTTCTGGGATGGATCTCAACTCATCAGTCATGATTTGGAGACCATGTTGTTGACAAAAAACAGAACAGCAGAGTACCTCTCTCAAAAATTTAAAGAGTTTCTTGAGAAATGAAAAATTGCCCAAGATCACATCACTGGTGTAGTCACTGACGCAGGATCCAACATTAAAAAGGCTGTGACAGATACATTTGGAGCCCACAAACATGGAGAATGTTTTGCCCATAAGCTGAATTTGAGTATTAATCATCTCTTTCATAAAAAAAGTAGCAGAAAATGGTCTCACAGAGGAAGAAAAAGGGAATAATAATAACAAAAAAAATAAAAATGAAGAGCTTCAAAATAAGGTGAAAGATTTAATTACAAAAGTGAAAGACATCGTGACCTTCTTTAAACAATCGTCAACCGGCTCTGATGCACTACGCGCAGCTCAATCGTCAGAAGACTTTGAATATCGACTCATTCAAGAAGTCTGCACCCGTTGGAACTCAACATATTACATGTTGAATCGATTCTTAAAGTTAATTGAGGTAATAAGTTCGCTACTACTAAAAATGAGGAACGCTCCGGTGATGTTGTCACGAGAAGAAATCAAACCGCAGTCGGGCTCGAAACACTCACCTTTAGTTGGGTAAGGTTTTTCCAATTCTGTTCTCATCATTAGCCTTTAGAATTCTTATTAGGGTTATATTCATCTGCTTCAGCACTTAAGAAAAGGAAAAGAGGAGAAATGTCGCGGAAAAAAAGCAACAGCGGGGAAATGAGTGAAAATAGAAAATGTGAAATTTTCTTCACCATGACATTTTTATTTATGTTGAAAGCAGACGTTATAAATAAAATGTAAAAACCGGCTGTTCAATTTCAGAGGCAAGGAACAAATTCAACAATGCCATGATACAGTGGTCCCGCAATTATTTATTCAAGACATGAAATTGATTGAAGTAAAAATGTTAATTGAAGAAAGTTTTTTAAAAAATATTATTTTCAAAACATATTAATTTTTTATATGCAAAATCAACATCAGCCGGTAAAAACTGCAACGTTTAGTATTTTTTCTTTGACATATTTTTCGGTAAGTTCGTTATTGGACCAAAAATGTAAAAAGCAACTTAAAAGATGTCAACAATTCGGGAAGCTGAATTTTAAGAGTCATTTCATGTTTATTTTAAGGAGTAGTAGTTATTTTCATATTCAGAAAAGTTTTTGTCCATGTGTGGATTTTTTAATTTCCTTTTATATTAATCGCGGCGGCTATTTTCCCTATTTTACCATTTGACAGAGTCGTCATGAGACGCTCCCCAATACGGTGACTGTGAGACCCCTCACTACTGTCCCCACTATGATCGTACTAGCACCCTTTTAATTGGCATGGTTATAAACTTTATTTGATTCATAACTCGAGTTTATGACTCTGCTCCGAGCTACCTGGAGGTTGCCCATCCCTGCTCTAGCGGGATCTGCCAAACAAGAGCTCTAGGAAGAAGAAAAATCAAATTAGAGGAAGCTGCTTCGTTCAGTGAATAGGGCCCTCCCGTTCTCACTAACTATGCTCGGCAGCCGCGTGAGCCAAATGGGCCCAGGTTACCGTGCCCTGATATAAGTGATAATTTTTTCTATCCAGACCGGTTATCTGTGAAGAGTGCAACGAACAGGCAATGAATTGAATTAATAAGTTTAGCACTGGTTGACATTTTTTCTGCGATCGCCAGCTCCTGTGAGTATACTATAAGAAAAAACAACTATATATTTAATCAATTTTTCAATCAAAAATTGGTACCTTAATTAAGATTATTCTTTTTTTAAACAGTCCATCGCTTACAAGAATAATTTTCAATTGATTATTCAAGGGCGAGAGAGAATACGGTTCGTTCTTCCTCTCGGCTCTTGACTAGAAGGGCAATCACGCACATCGGTCCGCGAAGTCACACAGACGAACAGCCACTGAACGCTGCAGCGTCATTGGCTATTCTTTTCACTCCAGAATCTCCAGAGTAGTGCTTCTGATCGAAAGATGGAAAAGAACGTTTCGGTTCAAATTACCCCCTATACATGCCGGTTTCGGATCGGCCTGTACTTCTAGGACACCCTGCTCATAATGGAAGAGTTCATTATTTCTGCCCCCACCGTTCACACACGTCGGAACCGCGCTATTATGATTAGTGTGACAGTGGGGGCCTACAAATATAAGTAGCGGTAGAGCCAACATTCTTTACTCCCAAATTTCAATTTCAGAGCCGAGGGAACAGCGGTCTTCCGAAACAACTCGGGCTGGGCCATGCGCTACGCACCGACAGATTACGCAGCCATAGTACGTGCTGTGACTTACTGCCTACATACGTCAGAGTCGCGATACTCAGACAGGTGTGGTGGTGGGGTCTAAGCAACCTTAGGTAGGAGAAGCCAAAGTAATCTCTACACTGCTCTTTGCTCGATACACCAGAGCCCGATAGCCGCACCCCTAGCAGCGCAGGAGTCTATCATATTTCCTTTGATCCTTTCTATTCTAGCTTACATTTTATGGTTTAACTTCTTCGAAATAGTTCTTCTGCTAGGTTATAATGCGAGTTCTGGCTTCAGACTCAAAAAGTAATTGGCGCTCGTAACGATTTTTTGTTGTTTGATGGGAAGCAGAGGGCAGATTACGTTTCATTTTTTTCCATTAAAAATCGGCCATATTGGACACTCTACAAATTTAAAATTAATATATATTCCTCGATTGTTTTCAAACAGTTTGTTAAGAGACAAATTTTAGATAGTACAATCTCGAACTCGTATGACTCGGAATTTTATTGCAAAACTTATCATGGCACAACTTTCGTTTTCAAATTGGTAATTGACGAGGTCAACACCCGTAAATTACAGAGTCAAAACTTGAAATTTACGGGATTGGAAACCTGGTGAATTAGGCACCTAGTACTGTTTACCATGATAATCCTAATAATAATGTTACTTTTCCTGCAATAAACGGTCATGATTAGAGCAGGACCCGAAGTATATGAGAGTGATGTTTCAAAATGAATCATTGGTGTCAGCAGAATCGTAAGTGTAATAACAATATGAATATGTACGGTTAAAGTAGTTCTGGAGTAACGTATACTTGTAAAGAATTTTACAATAGGCTAGAAATATCAAATTTGGATTATTGGTTATACAGTAGATACCGGAACCGTTCGCGTAATTACAAGGCCTTTGGCTACGCCGTATGAAATCGGCATCGCTGAATATCGAAAAATCATGTTTTTCCTAGGCTTGACGTATATTCAACAAATTACGTGGTTAAATTGTTGAAATTTTGGTAATATTTTTTAACTGTATCCAACAATAAATCGTTTCCATATGAAAATGAATAGCATATTGCGCAATTATTCAAACGTATGAGCAACTTCGGATATATTTTAATATGGAACTTCTACAAAATAAAGAGCATTTGCACATTTAATTTCTAAATTTGAGAGAATTGAAAATGGATATGTCCTGCACTATTTCTCCACAAATTAGGAACTGACCCTTAAAAGCATTCATATAAAGTTAATTTCCTGATGAAACATTATCATTGGATTCATGATCTTCAACCTCTCCTAATAATGCGTCTAATATTATTTAAAACCCTCAGTTCAACAGGTTTAAAAATGAATCATACATCGGGATTAATCTTTGGAACATAGTGCTAGTAATTCTGAGAACTTACAAGCGACATAGAGAATAGTATCAATCATCATTGAAAATCACCTCTTTGTCACTCTGAGACAAAAACTTGCGAACATATTTTAGACATTCAACTGAATAATCGATTGTGCACGTGTCAATTGTTTCTGGTTATGGACAGGACACGGAGCTAAAACTATCAAATAAAACATGAATACGACAGATAGGTAACAACAGCATTAACACTTCCCAGTAAATACTGATGATTACATATTGAATATATTTTTAGACGACCGATACTCAATCTCGCATATTTTCAATGTATCAAAGATTTTTTACGCATTTATTGGCGCAGTACTATTGCAATTGGTTGGCCAATAGTTCTCCTTCCTTTTCCGTTGATCTACAGCCACAAAGTAAGATAACAGTAGGACATGCTTCATCTGACCTACTTTCTTCTACTTTTTGTTTTTAATCACGTGTATTTTTGCAGCAAATCAGGTGTGCTTATGTCATCCTGATAATGGCCATGTTTTGGGTGACAGAAGTGATACCTCCGGCCGTTACCTCTTTATTCCCTATCGTCCTGTTTCCGATTCTCGGAATATTGGATAGTAACGAAGTTTGCCAATGCTACATGAATGACACTATAATGGTATTTGTCGGTGGGCTTGTATTGGCCATCGCTGTTGAACATTGCAATCTGCATTTGAGGATTGCACTCACTGTCATGAGATTCGTGGGCTGCAGTCATAGTCGACTTCTGGGTGGTCTTTGTATAGTGACGGGATTCTTATCTATGTGGATCTCCAACACGGCTGCATGTGCTATGATGATCCCAATAATTTTTGCAATTCTGGAAGAACTTGAAAAGGTTCCCGCATTTTCTCTCTAAATCATTAAAGAACAAGTGATCAGAAGCGATTTTAACCGTTTTTTTTTTATTCGATTTTTTAGAAGGACTAGTTCATCATACTGCAATAGATTCAGAGTTGTTTATCATTATGCATTTACTTATCATTCAATAATATTTATCCATATTTTTTAGTTTTTCGATCATTCCACGCAAATTCAAGATAATCAAAAATCACACGGAAAAACATACAGCATACACTAGGAAATATTGTCTGTTTTAGTCATTGTACCGTTTATTCCGCAAAAAATCATGGTTGTCTTCCGTACACGGCCTGCTAAGTATCATCTGACCAATGTGAGTTTATAAACCAGGCCGCAAGCTACGATTATATTCATAACACGTATTGGCCGATTGGTAAACCAAATTTTTGATTAGTGGATTTGGGAACCGCCTTCAAACCGATCAAAGTGAGATTAGAATGGCAAGTTTGGCAGGTCATATGATAGAAATGTCTCCAAGAAAATCACATTGGTGGACGATCCTACTCAGGCCATGTTCTGCAATCGAAATTCAGTTATGTCATATTCGAATACGGCGTGCATTCTTATTAAATT